TATATATAGAATATATACATTTTCAACAAAATAAATGACACCATAATAAAATCATTAATTCTCCTTAACCTTTGGCCAACACAAAATGAGCATATACAATGCACCTCAGATATGATATACACAATAGTACGAGCAGCAGGGGGAAAAAATTAATGAACACGTGAAACTTCTTTCCTGCAGAATCCTGGTTTTGTCTCTTCCATCTTACTAAACAGCTACCACCTACTTCTCAGCCATCATATCCCTGTTTCTAACTAAGCTGCAACAAGTGACATGAACTTTCTCTCCTCCAGTTGCATTTTCATATCCCCTTCAATCTAAACATCTACCTGCATCATTTTATTGACTATTGTTAGCTGAGGCACTAATGATCTAGCTATATGCTAGCCAAATCCTCAGCCACATCCACATCCTCCTTCAATTCTTTTGCTTTTACACCACTGGCCACTGCCAACCATCTGATATATGGCTCTTGCAGCTCAGCTTCTTCATGTTTCTTATCCTGTTGCTCAAACCACTTCATCCAACTCTGACTTACTGGGTTTCTCTCCTTTTCCTTATTCCCTTAGCAAACCCTTCTTTCCCCACAGAAGGATCGATGGCTAGTTGTCCCCTACTTCCCCTGCTCCTCACTTTATATACGGGTGCCAATACTTAAGGTATTACAATCATCTTTTTTAGGATGATGAACAAACATTTACCCTCCTGTGATCTATCACTTCCCTTCTAATACTTGACCTTACTCTGCCTAAATCACCTGATATTAAACTAACTTTCACTTAAAAAAACAAGACAGAAGAAATTCCTCCTAAAATGTCTTCATTGTCCCATTTCTAGAACAGACAAAAAATATAGTTCTGGACTAGTAAAATAAACTCTTCTTCACACTATTAGATTCGAAAGTCAGGGGAGTAAGCACTTCTCCATTTTCTCCTACTAACTATGAAAGCAAAGGTTGTTGAGGTGGTTTTGCTTCCTTTCTCAAGACAAGCAAGCTATTTTCCTTTTGTTTTGCGTTTTCACTAAAACCACTGTAAAATCAGGCAAGCTCCTTCTATAATAAAACAGAACTTATTCAGACCTTTTCCCTTTTTACAGTACTACATTTTAAGGCTGTATGCCTTCAAGCCCACTTGATCACTAATTGCTACAATTTTATCTATCACTAATATTTCAGAATGTTCTATCCGTGTATTTGTGTCTGTTATTTCCTTCCTCCCTCCCTTCCAGTTCCTAAATATCGAGAAACTTTCATTCTTTCCTTCTGCCCCTAGTCTTCTTCCAAACCAGTTTCCGCCACACTCCAATGACTGTACCTAGTTTGGGAACTAAAATGTACGGGTGGAACCAACAGCCACTGTAACAGTTTGCAGCAAATTCATTAGAATTTAGGCTAGACTTTGTTCTGGTTAACAGCAAACAAGTAATTTCATTTCATACTAAACATTTGTTCCATTTATCTTCTTTTCATAGAGATATCTACTTTTCCTGAACAGCAGAGCTGAAAAGGACAAGCCATTACTGAGATAGTGGGTTTAAAGGGATTTCTAATGAGAAAAACAGTGTGGCTCACCAGTCAGCATGGCCTGGGCATAACACAGTATTTTCGTACACATTTTGTTTGCTTACTATATCAGAGTTCCCACTGCTGTTAAAATCGTGTTTGATTGCTCTCTGTGGCCAGGCAGTTCTCATCTGTTCAGCTTTGCCATCTTTGTTGATTCGCGTTCGGTCAGAATTCCAAAGCTCAAAACTTGAGGGCGGCAAGAACGGCGGTATCACTGCTTTCAGTTTATCGCTGGGCAGCCTGGTAAATGGAGCACTACTTCTCAACTGACAGCGGGAAACAATGAAAGGGGAAAAAAGAAAACAGAGCTGCTTCTTAAGAACGATTACTAGGAGCTGATGATGTAGTTTCAAAATTGTAAGTTAAATAAAAAGATGGAAACAAATGCATTTTTAAACAAAATAAAATGGAAACAAGACACAAAAGTAGTATTTGTGAAGATGTACAACACATAATAACAGAATCCAATGGACATTCTGGCACCCATCAGTATGCTCATTGATTTAATACAATGAATATAGTTCATTAAGTGGCAGAAACTGTCTCTTCCTTTACTGGGCTGAATATTGCTTCAAATTGATTTTAATAGGAATGTACGTATTCTCCAGAAAGAGAAAAAAACACCACAACTGATTTGACTCCCTGGATTGACTCCCTGGAGTTCTGTCAGTCACATCAGAAGTTACTTAATCTTGTTAAAAAAGAACATAAAGGATAACCAGCCAAATTTAATGACATCTCCAGGGAGTAAGCTGTAGGGGAATTCAAAGCTACAGCATAACAAAAGAAGAAATAGAACCATACAAATAAACATCCCGAATGAAGTATTTCATGATTCCCTCTACTAGTAATTTCTTGCTTTCACACTGTACCATGTTCCATCCATGTTTTCCTCACAGCATACTGCTTGTCCACAAGTAATCAGCTGTTCCATCTATTTTACTAATTCCTTGCTGATCAAAGGTATGGGTAACGCCTGAAAAAAGTCAGTACTTATCAACATTTTCCATACCATACTACTTGTAGTACTTCCTAGTTTAAAAACTACTGATGTATCGCTGCCTCTCAGTTCCTGTCTAGTGACTATCAAGACATGATAGTTCCCTTTCTAATGGTGACTTGGACAGGAGGTAAAATAAAATAAAAACGATGGGAGCTGCATGACCTTCTGAACTGGGCTGAACATACCAAAACAACTGCGACATACCATGGTGGTCAGTAATTCATCATCCTTTTCTCCTTTTGCAGTGTTTCCACCTGAAAAATATATAAATGACCTTTTATTGTTTACACGCTCCCACTTTTGTTCTTAAGTATAGCTTACTGTTTTCAAACATTCAACAGCTTTATCCTCACTAAGCACACAGAATCAAGATTTCTAGTGATACTGTCATATACCTAAATTAAAATTAAGCCAATAGTCTTATTTCACATCACAGACTGTGGGGGTTTTGCATGGAGAGCTGTACAATTTCAGTAGATGTGCTTTACGATTTGGGCTTTTCCAATCTTTCTTCTCAGAATTACTTACTTATTTGCTTAAACAAATTGGTTTTCATTACATAAATTAGTTTATCAAAGATACTAACAGCTTTTGAGTGACCTGTCTCTACTGTCCAATTTAATGGTGCTTGCTACAGAACAGTAACATTGTTATATTAGCATTTTCCTGCTTAAATGATCAGCATGATCATCAGTCAGGAGTACAAACATCTCTCTTTTTATGTACTACAAATACATTACGTGTCTTTTCAGTTATATTAAGCTAAATAAAAACTAAATAAATTAGAAATAGTATCATCTTGACTATCCCACGAGAGCTCACTTCCCATAAGACAACTCTGGCTTTACCACTAGCTTTGTTATTTGTGATCCAAGCTGTAGCAGCATCAGGGTTTCCAAAGGTGTCTGTATCATTCTGGGATACTGCTTTTATGGTGGAATTTAATGATGGTTCAGGCTCATCAGGAAAAGGCACAAACTGATTGAAAGGAAATCCATGGCGCAATGTCTGAGTCAACTTCAGCTTGCGGAATCGATTGGACATCCTGCTCCACCAGGACTAGATTGATAAGAAGACACAACAATTTAGTTCCAACTAAAAGAAAAAAAAAAGAGGAAAAGAAATGTACAATTAAGTAATCCTCACTGCAGTGATAAATGTGTCAAGAAGTTTTTGAGATAAACTACAAAAGCAACGTTAAAGTGGTTTGCAATTATCAACAGAATCCTTCACCATAATTTGTATGCATAAGATTCATCTCTTTCCTTATTTTTCATCTGGCAAATGCCTTACAATTTTTTTCCACACTATCTGGAAAGACAAAGTAGGTAAAGTCATTAGGGTAATTTGAATAGGAAATTTTTACAGCTACATGGCAAATATTTAATCTTCCCATTAACTTCCTGTTTCACCATCCGTTCTTAAACTCTCTGGCATCAATGAACTGGCATGTATATTTTCTGCTTTTTAGAGGCATGCATAGAAGTTTATCCAATCTGCATAAAAACACCACAAACCATAGGACTACTGCACCTACAACCTCCATCCATACAAGTGTCAAGTATATGGAGACTGTCACATGAGAGGACCATCTTTGCTCAAAATTCATCCAAATATTTACAGACTTATACATTTTTACAGGCAGTGCAAGACGTTTCAAGTATTTAGCGGGACATTTCTCTAGACTATACCAGACCTATGGGCTATATTAAAAAGATGTATGCAATCAGTATTAAAGATTATGTGGCTTGCAGGTACATCAGTCAGATTATAAATATCTTCTGATTATTTCTTAGTAAAGCTTCTTCCTCCCTTTCTGGAACACTTTTTAAAAAACACAATAAAGTCATGTAAAAGTGACGATATTTCATCAAGGCAGCTTTACATGATATCCAATCCAGATAACACACTTTCCTAGTTTACTCTTTATTCTTAGCCATTCCTTCTCACCATACATATTCCCCTCTCTCCTTGGCATTTAACATTTTTAAACTGCTTACTGATATATGTCTTCCCAACTGTCATATAGTAGAACTAAGTAATATAAACTGTAAACGTCTCCCCTGTAAATCAATCCTTCCAACAGATGATCACTAAAAAGATTTTAAATTTGCACAGAGCATTAGGATAGAGTTTCAGACCTTTGTATCTCTTTGGAGCCATAACTAATAAAGATTTACATTACTTTCAGGAACAAAGACCTGACGGAAAAAGGCAAGAGAGACAAATAGTTCTAAGAATGCACTAAAACCCACACAGTTCAGCATTTAGTCACCTTCCAAAAGGAAATGAAAGGGCAAAAAAATCCATCTAGTTTTAACTCAGAGTACAATGAGCTTACAAAAGAGACTGCTTGCACAATGCAGTTTGTTTGCTACAGGAGCAAGCTAACTACAGTGAACAAAAAGATCACTTCTAAGTTCCTATCATCTTCACAGTGCTTCTGCTTTGTTAACACATGCTCACGCCACAGACTAACCCGAAATGGCGTAAGTACAGCCAAAAACTTCTGCTCTCCAGCAAGAAAGGAATGATAATGGAGAGCTCATGTTGTCCTCTGGTGTTAAGTCTGGTGGTCTGAGCTCTGGAGTTTCCAGTCTGCTGCTGCAGAAGGTTGTGGCTGCTCCATATACCCTACCACATCACACACACTTACAGAAGCTGGAATAAAGGACTTTGAAGCAGCCAAGTAACAAAAGTGCATTTGTGGTTAGAAACACTGTCTGTCAAAAGGTTGAAATCTAGTAGCAATGGGAGAAAGCAATAGTATCAAAGAACAGTAAAATGGTGTTGCCACTTGAGAAATACCTTAGACATCTGCAACGACATTAGGAATAAAGAATAAGGGGAAGAAGTGGAAATCTCTGCCCTCAAACAACTTCTGTCTAAAGAAGAAACTGAATGCGATAATTCACACTGCTCTAATACTGACATTGAGAGTATAACTTGCTGAAGAAGCACATGCAGGAAGAAAAGAGAGGAAACAGAATTTTTGCATATGGAAAAGCCACAATTTCATTTTCAAGTCCACAAAATGGTGACAAACAAAGTTGTTAACAGTTCCTGTGTGAAAGGGGTAAAGAATGAGATCATGGTTATCCACTACATAATCAGGAGGTAAAGGAACAAGGGCCTGTATTATGCATAAATCACAAATAAATGAAACACACAACAAAATAAAAAGTCTACTAGTTAATCAGAGAAGTGATCAAACAGGAGACACAGAAAATGGTTTGTTTTTTTAAAATTCAAAAGCAGCCTATTTGTAATCAGATATTTTAGTATGAATACTGTTAACAGGAGGAAGGTAGGAACATATGTGCATCTGCTTAACAGACTAAGAACATTTAAATGAGCTTACATGAATTAAAACCAGACAAGACTGATTAAAATTATGCTAGAGTAATTATGGACAACACAACTTCTGAACAAATACTGATTATCTTCAAGATAAGTTAAGAGGATGGAAGAAGTTGCAGAAATCAGGCAAATGGCAAATACATAATCACCCTTACCCCAAAGAGGAAAATCTGAAAATTTACTGGCAAAAAAACTTAACTGGAAAGGACGTAACTGAAAAAACAAATACCCGTAACACATCCACTCCAATTTCAAAGGAAAAAAAATAGCCAGGAGCATAAGAACAGTCTACTAAAATTGGAGTACATTTGGATTTTAAAAGCAGATTTAAAATTAAGATCATAATCAAAATTCAGTTCCAAACTTATGAACATGATATCTTCCAGTACTTAATTATGAGATCTATTTGTAGGCACTGAAATGCTTTGACGCAAACTCTTCCTTAGAAGTCTTCCCTTTGCTTTGCCACCTGATAAAAAGAAAGCTGAACACATGCTACATTTCATACAAACAGGAAGCACTGTCAACGAGGAATTAAGAACCATCACCCCCCAAAAAAAAACCAAGTTACGTATTAGACCTGAGGTACTTCTTAGGATTGACTTTGTCTGCTTCATACATTACAAGAAACAATATATTGGTTATTTATTAAAAGTGAATATACTTACCTTTAGACCTCCTTTGTCATCTGGTAACATTGGGACATTTAAGGATTGCCTACTTCTGGAACAAGGCAAAGATGATCTGTTGTTCGGTTTATTCTTGTCTTTGTCTACTTGCATGCATGCTGATGCCAGTAACCGTACAAGCTCTGTGTCTAAAAGAAAACAAATTAAGATACTGCTTAGTCTGTTTTGCTTTCCCCAATTACGACTGATAGGCTGACACTTTCCCTATAAATCCCATATGAGTAGTAGTTGATCTACCTTTCAAAAACAAAGCAGATGAATCCCCCAAACCTTCTTTCTTGGCCTGTTTTCCACCCTTTCTCCCCACACAGTAGGCTGCAGTTTAAAGTTATTTATTAATAGAAGTAAGCATGCTATGCAGTCAGAATCAGTCATATGAGACCTGAACTGCCTCCTCTCGCATTTTGTAGAACGATATTGCGATGCTCCCTCTTCTCACCTGACACAGAAGAGAGTAGAGAAAAATGAGTATTCTTTCTTCAAGCGTAGGTTGCAGAAAAGAAGCTTGAAATTAAATCCCAAAGAGAAAGGAGATGTTCAGCCTGGACAATGAAGAGACTGAAAAGACACAGTAAGAAAAAAAGTGGACAAAAAAAAGTAAGAAAAAAAGAAAGGAAGAGGAAGAAAAGAGAACAAGTATGAGATGGGGACAGGAAAGCAAAAAAAAAATGTTCTGTAAATCTGTATTTTATGCAGAAGCCAGGAAAGCCTTTCAGAAGGGCACATAGAACTGACCTATATATTCCTCTTGCTGAACAGGTAACAAGACAAACTACCCTGTCCTACAAGAAGTTAGTTACAAGAAAAAAAAAAATTCATTGTATTTACTTTCTAAAATTTCATACTATTAGTGATCTACTTTTAACAAAGGAAAGGTGTCTGCTAGAGACCAAAAACACCATAATGAGTAAATACAGAGAGAACAAACATTAGCTCCATCAGAAGTAGTGGGTTTTGGCTTCAGATAAAGCAATTCAGGTACCATGCAAGGTTAACAATAACAAATCACATAGACTAAAAAAACTACAACAAAACCTAAATGTGTTTCATTGAAGTTTCCCCAAAACATGCTGCCTTTTTCTAAAACACTCCCATAAAAACAGTCTGAACCCTGAAGTATGATTTATTCTCAGCCTTTACAGACCTGGCAAGAGGTTCAGCCAGGAATTCACTAGTTTTGTTCTGATTATACTCTCTTTGTCCTGTCCCTTTACTACTGTTTACTAAGTGGAAATTTCTAGCTCCAGTTGATGGCTCTGTGCTAATGACACTACAGAATACCAGGGTCATCACAGTCAAATGCCACTGAACTGGCTCTGGTGACACAAACAACACACTTTGGAGCATCTTCAAAAACGAAGGCAAGAGGAATGTGCATAATCTCTTATCCTATAAATGTATGCACTCATCTAACTAGTTAACTCAAACTCCACCATTTTCACACAGCATCCTTTCTTGGTCCAGTTCAGCACAGACCTAAAGAATACTTCCTAGCAACTTTAATGTATTTTCTAGATTGCAAGGGATGTTTATCTGCTTATGTTGTACATTTCCTCAGTGCTCTTTGAAATAGCATACCTGGATCATTCAGCAGCATTATCAGGTCAAAAGCAGTGTATCCATTTTTTGCGCGAAGATTGACGTCAGCTCCTTGATTTAACAAATGCTTCACAACATCTTTGTTCCTTTAGGGGAAGAAAAAAAGGCATTGCTTACATTAAAAAAAAAAAAAAGGAAAAAACCCAAAAATGTAATACTTCATTTTCATCCTTTTATACCATTGCTTCTCAATTAGAGATCAGAGTTTTACCTTTTCTATAGCTAATCAAGTATAAAATTTGTTCACAAACTATTCAGAAGCTCGCATGATTCCTTTGTCAGTCACCATTTATTCACTATGAATTACACTAATCAACATGCAGAAAGTCAGCCTAAAAAACCTAATCTGAATAGTCAGTTTCTTAAACTGACCCTTTGGAAATGAGTCTGGAATTTTTTGCCAAACACCTTGCCAATGAAAGGCCATTAATGCCTAGGGCAAATAAGCAGATGGAAAGACAAAGGTCAGTCCAATAGTCATCATACGCCATCACTAGTACTTAACACAACTCCGTATTTAGAACGGGTAAGAAAGTGCATATAGAAAAGCCAAACAGACTGAAGATAATTTATAAACTCCAAATAGTACTTCACTTAGAGATATAAACTACATAATTGAGAAGGCAGGCATATTTTCACTTCCTTGAAGTGTTTAAAATGCAAAACCAATCAGCATTAAACGATAACCAACACCAATACCTTCAACAAAAGCTCATAAAAGCTAGTTGCATAAAAGGAACTCACCCTCCCATTCCTGTTAGCCCCTCTCCCCTCTCATACACCTGAATAAATAAGCAGGACTTGCCTTGTGAATTAAAAACAATACTGTAATTCAGCCTACAAAAGAAGCAAACAGACAACAAAGCTAGGGAAAATATATTTAATACGTAACTTCTCTTGAGCAGAGAGTGACCTGGTATAAAAGCAAACTTTGACATGCATAGGCAACACAGAACAAAAATGTTTTAAGTAGCAATAGCTGACTGCAAACTCTAATACTGATGCTGACAAACAGTTCTCGACCACTCCACTTCAAAGCTTTACTTCTTATTGTATGGATGAAGTTTTCACTTCTGGACTCACTCCATAAAAATCAACCTAAAGTGGAGCAGGAAGGTTCCTTCCCTCTTCTAACAAAATTCTGCTTATCCCCACCACAGCTCCTCTGCATACTTCCCATTACTTTCCTTAAAACTGTGTCATCCCCCCATACTGCTTTCCAGTCCTGCATCTTGAGGGCACACAGAGACACAATCCTTTAGTGCTGCTGGCTCACACAGACCTTGCCTGCTCCCTCCTTCATACCAGAGACACTTCACACCACTGTTGCTCGGGAGAAGGGGTGAGCTGAGGCTGTGGACGCTAAAGCTTTCCAGTTTGTTATTAAAATTTGCAACTGGCTCATGCCGACCAAGGAGAGAGGCTAGGACACAAAGTATAGAATTACAAGTGTAAATATTTATTCATGCAGATGAGAAGTCCCAGCCAAATTGGGGCACCCCAAATGTGGTTTCACACAGGGTTCTTGTACCCTTCAAGCATTTAGGTACAACACGATTTGACTAATCACTAACACCTACACCACCAATTACTAATCAGAGTAAAACTTTGCAGAGCAACTATTTCTGCAGTATTCTTGCTGCTGTTCTGTTCATCCAGTCTGGAGTCAGTCTTGCTATCATTACTTATCTAATGACACCACACAATACTGAGAGGGTTTCAAAGACATGTTAGAAGGGCTGTGATGCTGGTGTTAACTTGGTTGACTAGGAGTATCTTTTAGCCTTCATGGACAGCTCTAAACTTCCAAGAAGCCAAGTCCTTACTTCCAGGGCTAAGATGTCCTTCTGGTCCTTCCACTGAGCAGGTGTCCTTTAGTTTGTTTTACTTCAGCAAAAACAATACCAAAGCCTCCAGTAAAATTCCACTACCTCAAACATCAAGTGTATTAACAAAGTTAATAGTCTCATACTAAAAAGACTGATTCATATAATAGGGAGGGGAATTTTCATAACACAGTCCTCCGGGAAACTGAAAGGGCAGCATCTGAGCACACGTAGCACTCAGCTGTGCTCTGCGCTTACACAGACAAGAGGAGTGAGTGAGTACCAGCAAGGGGACGTGCCAGTAGCCCTGCAAATCACTTTCTGCTGGCTGTTTCTGCTCCAGCTGGGCACTGGGGTGGCTGCTGATAAGCAAAATGGCCGCACTGGGAAGAAAACATCTTCAGGCACTTCTGTGAAATGCCTATCACTACTATCAGTATTGTGTTGGTGAGGAAGCAGAGAATCTCATCTCATGGAGGTCTCAGCAACTACTTCAGAAAATTTTCACAAAGCAATGACAACCTGACCTATTTGCCCCCTTGTTGCACTTTCATAGTCCAAGGGGATCTGCTGACCAGAAATAAAAGCTGGAGCAGAATATCTGCATTTGTACAATTAATATCAGCATTACCAGGCAGTGAAGTGAATCTTCACCTTCCTGAGGGCCTCATCTACAACAATGGAGAAAAGTTCACCTTCCTAAACTGAATATCCTGTATTCAGGCAATGCCAAGTATACTACAGAGTGTACATGTGAAGTACCAGGCCAGTTTCTGGGGTCTGACTCTGAAATCCCTAAGTGCATTTATATCGTAGCTTTAGAGGAAATGACAATCAGTTCTCCAGTGGTTGCATTTCAGAAAACTCGATGAAAACTAAAGTATGAATAGGGGAACGTAAGACTGGAAAATATGGTACGTAAAAGGGTGATTGCCTTGAAGCTTCCCAACTTGATGTAAGCCTACAACCCTGGCAGGGGGTGATACTATCTCACAAAACACTAAAAAACATCAAAGGATGGAACTTGGAATCTGCGCTAAAGTTCCTAATGCCTGCCTGGAGCACCATGTTCCCAGCACGTACTGAGCAAGATTCAAGTTCCCAAATGTGCCACTCATTCTGAAATCCAAACAGCATTCAGGCCTGCTCTGAAAAGCTGGGGGCAGTGCAAGAGGCATGGAAAACTGAGGCTGCAAGTCTCTCAATTTCTTGTAAGACCCCTCTGCTTCCAGAGTCAGTATCAAAAAGATTGCTTTCTATTGGGATGCAAGAAGAATGACACTTCTTTACTGCTAGACCCGAAGAGAGCATGTATCTTACCCGTGGTATGTGGCCTGCATTAGTGCTGTCCAGCCATGAACATTATCCTGTTTGTCAATATCAGCATTTTTCTCTACAAGGAGCTGAACAAGGGGCAGCTGTCCAGTTACAGCCGCAATCATTAATGGAGATGCGCCATCAACATTGGTAATATTGACCTGACTTGAGTCTTCATCAACAATCTCTTTAACCAGCTGAAAGTTTCCTGTAAAACAGTGATAAAACATAATCTACGTGAGCAACAGAGAACTGCTTAGCCACTGGATTCATATGTATTTTGATTTGCTGACATTGGTCCACATTTAGTGGAATCAAAACAGAAAAAAATAAAGTACTAGAGCAACTGCAACACTAAAGCTAAGCATTTGGACTGATCTTTGCTCTTCCCAGGCTACATAAAATTGCAGCATAAGCACAAGGCACTGTTTTTCCTCATTTTCCCTATCTGTACACTTATAGTACAATCCCATTACATGAACCATTTCCTGTAATTAACAACTAAGCTATAAAGGTTGTACAAACTGCAGTGCATCCCACATGTGAAGACACAAGTAGGGAATATTTTTATTAAATTGTCATAAGGTGATGTCATGCAAGGAAAACTGATGATGCTGAGACATCATGATTTGTCCTTCAGCA